CAACAAGGAGCATGCCAAAAACATCAACTCCATGTGGGTGGCCACCACAGCCACCACAATAACCACAGCTGCCGCAAAAGTGGCTAGATGCCACAACCACCATGCAGATGGTCTACCAGCCACTGGAGTGCATTGACACAGAGTCACCAGCAGAGACCAAAGAAAAGAATAGGATGTCTCTCTCCACAAAGCCCATTCCAGAGTGACAGAAGAAGCATCTGCTCTATGATAATACTGGGGGACCTGAACACACCTTTCAGCACTGGACAGATCACTTGGGCAACAAATCAACAGAGTAACCATTACTCTTTCAGAGGGAGAGAAGAAATCTAGGGTTATAAGAGGTGGGAGGGGGGAGGGAGAAGAGGATAGGGAGAGATTGGACAAGGGGCATAAAGAATAAGTACAATTTGTAATAGTATGCGTACTAGTAATATTGATCTTATCAACATATGTCAACACTGAATCCAAAAAATATGTATAATCAATTATGATTCAATAAAAACAAACAAAACCAAAACCGAAACAAAACAATTAAAACTTATACAAATACCATATTTCCAACATCCCATAATTCCCAGTAAATTACATTTCCAATGAATTAAATTCTCCTCATCATGGGATATTCTGTCATAAAAAAAATCTGAAGTTTACTTTTGAGATATATACTCAAGAACAACGCACCCCCCAACTCCACCTTTTTTACTCAATTGGAAAAGTAACATAGAAATTTTGGAAAGTTTAGAAAGTTGTAAGAAAGAAAATAAAAATCACCCATAACACTGCTATTCAGATATAAACCTTTTAGATATTGGTAAATTTCTTCTTAGTCTTTTTTCTGTGCATACATTTATAGACATTCTAATATATATGAAATAATTCTGCTTACATAGCTCCACAGTAAGTTAATTTTTACTTTCTATATCATGAGTATCTTCCTATGTCATTAAAAATTCTAAACCATTTAAATTCTGTAATACATTTTATATATGTACATAGCATATTTTAATTATTTCCTCACAGATAGATGTTAGAATGTTTATAAGGAGATAATGAAAAGCACTATTTTTCAAAGTAAATTTTAAGCATAGTTCTTTCACAATTCTTTACCTGATTATTACAATTACCAATAATGAGGGCATCAGCCAGAGACAACTGTCCCACAATCATGCCCTGTTCCAGCAATGGGGCTCCCGTTTCAGCAAGGCGATTAGATGTGATAACAATGGTATTATCATCATTTAATACCATTACGGGGTCAGCCTAAAGAAAAAAGCAATAAGAAGTTAATGGCCAAGACAAAATATCAATGTGATAATTTATTCCTTCTTCTTGACATATACACACAATAAAAACACATACCACATAGCCATTCATTAATCCATAATTATGACAACCTCTCTTGTCAAAAACTGACCTCAATGAAAGCTGCTACTTCTTGAAGCACCAAGTTCCATTCCACTTGGTCTTCAGTGTTAAAGCGATGAGTATAATCTTCGATTTCATCTGATAATTCCTGATTTTAAAATATCACATACAAAAAAGATTATTAAAAACCCCATAAAGACACATAGCTATATGGTACCATATGCCTGACAGAAACTGATATAGTTTAGAAATTTGATTATTATCAATACACAGTCCCAATTACAACCAAAAACAAAGACTGAAAACTACAAAGATTTGTTTCATAATTAAAAACTCCAGAATGATACACATCAAACAATGTCTTTATAAAATACATTTCCTATTCAGTGCTACATCAGCATGAATTTATTAATACAAAACTCTGAAAAAAGATACTCAAAAATTTTAACATAAAAAAATGGAGACTTCCTGATTTTCTTTGGATTTATAGCATACTATTTTTTGGAGACAGTCTTATTAGTAACTGGAGGTAGAGGAAGACAGCGGGGGTATGTAGCACTACTTCTGGTGGCCTTGTCAAAAACTAGCATGTTATGTTTGTTTTAAGTTACAAAGTTAAGAAGTACGCCATCAAAACCATTGAGTACAGAATGCAACCAGAATTTAGTATGCAATAATTACAGATATTTAAGTGGATCCCAAATACAGTTAACTCTTAATTACCTGATTTAATGACAGAGTAATGCAGACACTCTAAAGTGATAGAAAAACTAAAATTCATTCACAATACCTTTGCAAAACACTATGCACCTTTTCTTGACCTAACATTTCAATTATTTTCTCTTAAACTAAGTATCTTTTTGACTTCCATTTCCCAACTAGCCATCAATGGTCTGTGAAATGTACAACATGCTGAAGGGACAAAAGCAAGGAATTAAGATAATTATCTCTGATTAGTGTATTTGAAATATGAAGAGAGTTGGAAAATTTTTTATTATTATCCTTGTCAGAAGTTATTATACTCTGAATGTTGTAATTATTGAGACATATCAAAATTATTTTAACCTAAAACAAATTACTCTAACCTAAAAACCAAAATTATCCATATACGAATAAATTATTAGGATTTTAATTATTTTAAAGTATATTTACCTTTACCAGATCTTTTACAACATCCATTTTGTTCAGAAGAAGACAAACTACTATAAATCTTGCATAGTATCGTAGCTTCTTAACTACCAACTCAGGTCTAGATAAATGGAAAATTATTCATTAGATTAAAAAAAGAATAGATGCTTTTATGACTTTTCCAATTTTCTGATGACTTTTAAAACTTTTAAAAGTTTCGTCCTTTTTTGCAGTTATAAACATTTCCACATATAATCATATAGTCTTTTAAAACACATTTCTTTTTTTTTTTTTTTTCCTTTGTGTCTTTTTTTACTGACCGGTAACGGGATCGCAACCCTAGGCGTTGCGCCCGCACCGCGCTCAGCCAGTGAGCGGGAACCGGTCTCCACATGGGATCCGAACCCTCGGCAGGAGCGCCGCTGTGCTCCCAAGCGGCGCACTCTCCAGTGCACCACCGGGCCGGCCCTAAACACATTTCTTACTCACTAAATCATTAAGTCATCATTCATACAGCCACTCAACAAATATCTATTGAGAACTTAGGTGCACCAGTCACTACACTAAGTGCTAAAAGTACAATGATTTTTTTTTCTTTTGAGAACTGTAGACACTGACCCTTCTTCATAGATCTTACAGACAGAGAAATACTTAAAATAGAGAGGAGACAGATAAATTCTTACAACCCAGTGTAATAAATATAATGATAGGAGAAATAAATGATGTTATTTGAGCCCACAGGACCAAATCTTGGGTGATAACAGGCTTCCCAAAGAAAGTAATAAATGTTTAAGTTAAGACTGCAAGGAAGAGTAGACGACTACGGGCAGGAAAACATGAGGCGAAAAGAATTTCAGAAACAATGTTCTTTGCCTTGAAATCTCATTTTTCTGATATTAATATAATCAAGTCAGCTTTCTCATGCTCATGGTATATATGACATATCTTTTTTTTTTTTTTTTGTCTTTTGTTTTTTTTCCGTGTCCGGCAACGGATCGCAACCCTCA